GAAGAAGGAACTCCAGCACCACCCATGTCTCTAAATGAAGGCAACGAGGGGCATGATCAAGCATTCAAACATGGAGGCATGGGTAGATGTTGCCTTTATGAACAAAGTCAATTTAGACATGGTCACCATATAAACCTGGTGACTCGTCCAAAGTTCCCTACCCAAAATCCAAGGACTCTTCGGAGACGACTTCAAAAGAAATGAGCTAATACGCATCGGAGACATGCTATTGCTAAGTTGCATGTTTCCCAAAGGCAACAACTTTCAAGAAAGTAAAGGTTTATCAGGGTGGAGAAGAGGAAACATGGTGCTGCCTCTCAAGGGGCAAATCAAAATTTAGTCAATGTAATCACATCTCCAAGGATGTTTGCCAAGCATGTTGCTCTCAAGTTGAATAACTCAAAGGCAGTTAAGAAGTGTTACATCCACAACAAAACAATTAGCCTTAGTGAGTCTACTATTAAACTTCCAAATTCCATTCCAAATCGCCCTTTTGTTTTCACAAAGAAGCAAGATGCAACCTCTAGTAACAAAAAGGCAACAAAGAACAAAGCAAAAACATACACCAAAGAAAACAAAGAGAGGGATCATAAAAAGCACATTGTAGCTTCTGTTCTTATTCAAGGAGGGATGATGTTGCCAACTGGAGCCATGCTATCTAAGAGACATTCTACTAAGAATATGAGACCTTTGCAAACACATGACATTTTTCATGAAGGCACATATTGGTTAAGGAACCTTGATGGTAGTTTGCACCTTACAAAAATAAATGGCTTACCTTTCAGCCATGCTACCCTATGGTTTGTAAATTATGTAGTAGATCGAAGTGGAAATAGTAATCTTTTTGCCTAAGTCAGGTTTGGGTGGAGATCACATTTAATTTAGTTTTCATTTTTAATTTTCTACAATTAATGTGAATAATCTTGCAGTTGGAATAGCCTTAAAGAAGGCTATGAGATAACGTTGTTCTCAAGACACTATGCTTTCTATGGAGTGTGCTTGATTTTTGTCTCCTTGTTAGCCAACAGAGGGAATTCATGGAATTGTTCTTTTTGGAGGCTATATTTTTCTATTTTTGCAGACATACTTTTAATTGGTTTTTTTGCTTTATGAAGCCATTATGTCTACTACATGATATTTCATGCTATGATGAAAAAAACAACAATATCAAATTTCTACATTCTTGGAGACATCATGCTTCCTTTATAGTGGCAATATGATGGAGTGTTAGGAACAAAATTTTCAAAAACTTGATTCCACTTCCATGGAGTCATGCAACCCAAAACTTGGTTGCATTCCAATAAGAACTTAATTAAACTTCAATTTTGATTCCTCAACTTTGGTAATTTGATTTTTAAACTAAATAAATTCCTCTTTTAGTTCTTAAAGTTTTAAATTTAGGCTTTTTTGTTGTCATTAACTTCCTAGCTTGCTTGTTACATTAAAGCTTAATATCACTAAAAATCTCTCAAGTTTATAAAATGAGTCATTGTCATCCTTGTACTTTTAAACAAGTCATAAATATCCTTTTAACTTTTGAGAAAGAGCCAAGCATAATCCTTCGATTGACAGATCTCATAACACCATCCATGCACCGGTTAAATGACATAGCTTATCCCTTAACTTTAAATTCTTGTGTACTTTGATCCTTAAACTTCAAATTTATTCCTTTGGATCCCTAATTTCAACTTTTTATTACAATTTAGTTCCTAAACTTTTGAAAGAAATGCAATTAAATTTAAAATTTTCTAATTTTATGCATTTTGGTCCTTTTTAAAATAATAAAAAGGTTAAATACCAATTTTGGTCCCTCAACTACAAAGTTTTGCACAATTTTTGTCTCTCAACTTTTTATGCACTTTTTTGGTTCTTTGACTATGAAAAATGCACTTTTTAGTCCTTCTATCAGTTAATTCATTAAGTTTGTCTATATATACACATTTTTAGTTGTCAAATTTTTAAGTTGAGGGATAAATAATGTGTATATACTATAAGTTAAGAGATTAAAAAGTGCATATATAGATAGATATAATGAACTAATTGAAAAATGACTAAAAAATTTTATTTTTCATCGTTAATGGATAAAAAAAGTACATAAAAATCGAGGAAACTAAAGTTAAAGAACCAAAATTGGCATTCAATTTTTTTAATTATTTGTGAGTGTTTTTACAGCAATGAGTGTATAATAATGAACAGAAGGCAAGCATATATTATTTACCACTAATATTGCTTCTTTTTTTTTTTTTTTCCTTGATGTGAGTTATGTTTATGCAACTAGCTAAATGTCCTTTAAAAAAAAAAAAAATCTCAAGTTGGACATTGAACATGTGATTTTTTTACTTTGAATAAATAAATTTTATACATTTTAGTTTATTCTTTTAGCAAAGTAGTCAATACCGTACCAACATCTGTATTGGTTTTACTGAAACGATACATATTGAATATCGAAATTTTTCGCATATCATTTCGAATTTATCACTGTAAATATATATTTTTATAAATTAAATATCAAATTTTAAAATAATGATAAGAGAAACTAATGTTTAAAATCATCTTATTTCTATAAATTGAAAACAAGTTTAAAATGGTCAACTTTATCAAACGTCCATAATTTTTTTCTTTTTTTTTTAGAACATTAATATAATATTAGGAAGTATAACAATATTTTGGGTTTAATGTTATACAATTTGCAATATAAAATACTTCAACAAGGGAAGGAATCATGTCTTTTAAGCATAACAAGAATATAAAAGACAAACCAAAACATTACTGAGAAGAGAGAACAACAATCAGTGAGTACTGAAAAGTAAAAGTCTGATTCTGAAATGGTCGAAAAAGACTAAAAATGCACATTTAGACAAACCTAATGGAATAACTGATAGAAGGATTAAAAAAGTGCATTTTTCATAGTTGAGGGATTAAAAATGTACATAAAAAAGTTAAAGGATAGAAATTATGCAAAATATTAAAGTTAAGAACCAAAAATGGTATTTAAACTTTTTTTAAATTTGAATTGATTTGTACCAGCTAATTTTTGGTGCATTGGCCGGTATGCAAAATATCGACTAGTACACCAAAATTTGACTGAAATGAGATTAAATTTTGTACCGTTTGGATTAATAAGAAAACTGATACATATTGACCACGTTGGCCAATGTGAAACAATATCAACTTCATTGTCCTTTTAGTCTTAGTTTTATAAATATTTTGGATGACTTGAAAGCAACTTTCTTAGATTTTTCATGTTTTTTTATTATTTGTGCAAAAGAGACTGTAATGCATGAATTAAAAATTTTGGGACTTAAGTGAAGTTCTTTTAAAAGTTTAGATTAAATTGCAATAAAAAAGTTAAAATCAGGATCAAATTAAATAAATTTGAAGTTTCAGGATCAAACTCCATAAGAAGTAAAAGGTAGGGAACAATTCCAATTTATCATTAAAATTCGAAGGATTTTAACGGGTGTATTGACGGCGTTATAACGTTACGTTAGTCAATAGAGGGATGATGCTTGGATATTTCTCCAAAGTTCAAGGAGATTTATGACTTGTTTTAAAGTATAAGGATGACAATGACTCTTTTGCAAAGTTGGAGGGTTTTTAGTGGTATTAAGCCTTACATTGATTCACGTCAAAACTTATTTTTTTGTCCTTCAAATTAATGACGCGAAAATTTCACATAAAAAAATTGATGAGATGATGAATTTAAAAAATTTATTGTCCATATTAGCTTTAAAAACCCACTTAATCATAAAATTATTATTAGGTTAAACCCCCAATTAATCATTCTTCATTATATAGCTCAATCTTTTAGGCTAAATAAATAGAAAAATATGGTGTCCAGATTAATATATCCAACAGTCTACCATAACCAAACATATAAAACCAAGTTTAGGGATAAAATTGTGTATATTTATACATAATCACTTCTTATAAACTAATTTAGTTTTAATTATGAATCACTTCTCTTTGATTAAATTCTCTTTATGAGATCCTTACTATCAATGTCATCCCTATAAAATAAATAAAAAGAAAACAAATTAAGGGTACTACAATGACAAAGACTGTTTCATTTGGTAGCCAATGGAAGTTAGGCGGTGGGGAGGGGGGACCATATGTGCTGGCTTTCCAGAAGCAATCTCATAGGAGACATATATGCCCCAAAGAACCAATCAAATTGACTCTGACCAGTGACCACAAAGGGGTTGAGATAAAAAAACCAAAATATTTCAAATTCCAGCCTTTTATCATCCTAAATCACATGGCTGATTGCCTTAAATTATCCACCCATTTCTAATCAACATTATTTAGATGGGTCTTGACCTTTTCTCATGATTCCAAACGCCACATTATATGGTATAGAAAGTGAGGGAAAGTACTCAAACCCTCCTGGGGAAAAAACAGAGAGAGAGTGGTATTCTCCTAGCAATAATGGCAACCAAGGAGATCAAGCAAAAGAAAGGTTTGCTAGGTTTCTACAAGTTCAATATTAGTGGCAAAAATCACATCAAGGCAAAACAAGAGAGTGTAGAAAGTACAGAAGCTCCAAAGACAGAACATAAACCTGTTGTAAATAGCTTGTTGCTGAAGAAATTGGAGAATTGTCAAGCCTTAGTATTAGAGCAAGGTGGCCGGAGGAGGATAGAGAGAGGAGGTGGCGGGGATGGTAGCTGCGGAGGTGGAAGAGGAGGAATTGTGGAGGCAAGGAAATCAGTGTCACATGTGGAAACGAATCTGTCATCAGTGGCATCATTTCTGCAAGTGAAGGTTTTGGTATCTGACATGCCAGGATTCATGCAAGTTCATGCTTTCAGGTGTGCTAGAAGAACTTACGATAGCTTGGAGAAATTCAGCTCCAAACACATGGCTTATAACATGAAGAAGGTATGTATGTATGTTTCATTATATATTACTCATTCTGTATTTCAAATTTTCATATTTTCTTGTTCATCATCTTTTGCATTATATATAACGCACATAATTTTGTTGGTAAATTTTAAAAATATGTGAAGGGTTTCAATCTTTTGTGTTGAATGAATTTTCTAGTTTTTGTGCTACAATTTCATGTTGGTACTTTTTGGGTTTGTCTGGGTTGAATGATTGAGTCATTGTTCATAGAGCCCCACAAAGAAGCAGACAGTTTCCTGCATCACCAATAAATTATGGTTTTCTTTGTCCTCCCTTTCTGCTCCATCTTATAGCAGATTTCTGGTGCACATGGAGCCAATTAATGTCAGTAGTTCTTCTTTTCTGATTTCCTTGATCTGTAGATGAAGAAGAGACAAGATTTGAATATAGAAGTTTTGAATGCACCGCCTTGTAACCAAGATCTTATTCATTACCGACCCCTATATTTTAGGATGTGAGCAAGTAAGGTTGTAAATCTGAGACTTTTCTCAGGACCTTAACAGGCCTTTAATGGCATCAACAAATTGAATCAGAATAGGGTTATGGTTCAAACTCTTGTAACATCAAGTAACTAATTTCTAATTTACAAAAAATACATTTTCTAAGTTTGAACATTTACAAAGATGAGAATATTAGTGTTCTTTGGAGGGTTTTCAGTAGAATTATGCAACTCTGTTCTTCCTATTTATTATCTAGGCGGCTTAATTTAATTTTTAATCTATTAACTATCACATTGATTTCATTTTAATCTAGAAATTATGTTTTATTTCTAAGTGGTTTATTAACTTTCATATTCATTTCAATTTCGTCTACTTGGTCAAAGAAAACGAAAACTTCCTATTCTATTAGAGAACAGTTAATCCTCTAACTATATTTTTTTTATCTTTTAATCCTCAAATTTATATTTGTTATAAAAATAACTTTTAT